TTAATTTAGCTCAAACCTAAAATATCATTTTACTATTTCCAATTTTCAGCGATGCCCAACTTAATCAAATTGATCTGAATTTTACCCAAATATCTTATTCTACCGCAGTGCCTTTTTGTCGTTTGATTATTGTGAACTCACTACCTTACTCTTCTTGTGATTGTAATAGTCAAATTTATGAAGAATTCAACAAATAAATGTATAAAAAAATCACTAGATTGGACTACGTTATTTTGTAAGAGTTAAGATTGAACATGTCAATGTCGAATTAATGTAGCGTTGTTGTAAATATAAAAAAAAATTAATCACTGTATAGAACCCGGAATCGAATAGAATTGAACCTGAACGGTTCCATAATTAAATTTAGACCCTACGATTCTACTTACTTACTAAATACCTGAAAATTCCGATTTGGTTCAGTTCTCTTCAAAACCAAACCGAACCAAACCATGTCCAGTCCTACCAATAACAATGATAATATGGCACAAATATTAGCAGGACGCAGGTATGCTTGTTTTATATACATAAAATCTTGTGGAATTTATTATCTTAGAGTGCTCACTAATGAATCTATACCTCTTCATTACAGGAGATACTTTGGACACAAACCGACCATCTTCCCTAATGCTAAGAAGTTGTACATGCTATCCTTAAATCGAGATAACATGATTTGGGGAGATTTTGCCTCCAAAGTTCGTACGTTCCAGAGAGGCTTCATGGGGGAGCCAAAAGAAGTAAGACGAGGGAGGGGCAAGTTTCACGAAAACTCATCTTCCCGTCTTTGCGACGATTCTGTGGTCATACCAAAGATGGATGTGGATTTGCTAAAGCGCGGAAATGGATATGTCACCACTAAGAAAGACAAAGATATAACATCTAAAAGTCAAAATATGGATGATGCCTAGAATGGTTTGATTTTGAATACGATGAAGATCCGAGTAATGAGCAAGAAAATGATGAGAAAAATGAGTGATATTGGATTTTGTGTACACCACAATATTTTTTTTTTTCATTTTTAGTTTTTATTGGATTAAGAGTATACTGTAAATTTATTGTGGTGTATTTATTAAAAATATATTTTAATTGTGGCGTACTAAGTAAATTTTGTGGTGGTAATATAATTACCTTTTAACATATTATAATTACATGATGTGAATATCTAAAATTTGACTTTATCAAGAAATGATTGCATTCACATGGGCTATTAGAAAGAGGCCTTTCCCTTTCTTAGTGTGTCCACGTTGGGGCTGTAAATAGATCGAATATGAATCGAATCTGCTTATATCCAATTCGATAAGAATAATTATCCGATTCGATAATCTGATAAATATTTGACTGTTCAATCCATATCTGTTTTCTATATTATTGGATATCTGATCTGAAATTAAAGAAATTAGGAAAAAACAATGTTGGAATCAATTTTTTTTTTTTTCCAATTTTTTCAAAAAAAAAAATTTATCTTTTGAATTTGATAACTTTTTTATTTTAAATTTATTTATTTTAGTCACAAATAACATGCTATAAAATATTTTACCAACTCAATTA